GGAGAGATTAGAGACTGGCATTTGAAATACTACATAGACCTTTGCTAAATTGCACCCGAAAGCAATCTAGTAGCAGCAGTGAGCCAGTAGCTTGGATCCTTGSAGGCCATGTAGGCAAAACCTGGTAAGACTTTGGTTTTTTTTAAACTGGGTATGCTTAAAACAACCTTGTAATCCCTTATAGGTCTTGTCTTGTTTAACGAAAGTTCAAAGCACTTGACTTTAATTGAGTTACTCTTGCTTTACAATAATGTAAATGAGATGAGAACTTCCCTTCCTCATGGCCCTGGTTTAYATTACAGCATAATAGCCATTTAGAGTTTTGAAACAGAAAATCTCTGGTAAAATTCGTTCTTAATTCCAAGTTTATGTAATAACTTCAAGGCACATCTTGTTACTGTATATTTTCAAAGTAATTAAGGGAGCACTTGTAAGGAATTGGTTTATTAGCCAGTGTTTGGTATCCTTATGGAAAAAAAAGCATGTTGAAATTGTTCATAAGTAAGTACTATGTAATAGGAACAGCACTTTAAAATTTAGACTTTGCTTTAATACATTTTAGTTTATTTTCTAATTCTGATACAGTCGTGTTACACAGAACCTAAACTAAACTAGATCGAAGGGAATCCCAGCCTGGGTTTTCCTTATCTGAGAAATTCTCTTTGGTCTTTGCTATTTCAGAAATGAGTTTTAGTTGCCAAAATGCATACATTATGGCTTGCTACATTATCAACAAAAATATGACTGCCCTGGAGTGGAATTTAAGGTAAACAGGCATCTTACAACAGCCMCCCTTACCATGTAACACAGCAGCTATCAGTCCCTTAATTTAAAGTTGCCAAATATTCCCCTTGTAATAGCCCCAGAAAGTACTGCAGAAAATGGCCCCGAGGTTCCTTTTCATGCTCTAGTTGAGCAGTTTGAAGCAGGCAAGCACAGCTCAGCACATCTCCAGGGTGTTCTGAAGCCGATCCATGTTTTAATAAAGATTGACACTTTTAAACAGTGCAGAAAAGTTGATGCTCAACTCCTACTGCGTTTCAAGTGAAGTTGRATACCAACTTCTCTTTGTCCTCTTGTGGAAATTCTAGCCTAATTAAAGATACAGGAGAGCACATGTAAGAGGAGGGTCTTTTAGCAGTCAATGAGGAGTGAAGGAAGGTGATATTTTAATCTTCTAAATTATTTATCCTACAATCTTTAGACAAGTTGTGTTCAGAATAACATTTCATT